GTTTGCCGTATCACCCGAAATCAGGAAGCAATTCCGCGATATGATAACTACCAAATGGGTAACTGTCGGCGCTGTCTCCGTCAATGAATTATCAGGACATCCTGCAACAGAAGAATGGCTCGGCACATATGACGGCGTCCACATGTGAAGCAATGACAGCAAAGTCATTGCTGACCACTTCGCGCTGCTATGTTGTATTCGTGCAGTGACTTATGGCGGTCGAGTATTAACCTGTGTCCTTGACCAAGGCGCAGAAGTTGTTGTCATGCCACGCACAATATGGCAATCACTAGGCGTCGGCTTGCACTCAGATCACAAGCTCAACATGGAATCGGTAAATACATCCCACGACGCTATGCTTGGCGTCATTGAAAATGTCCTGCTTGACTTCGGCGGCGGTCCAATGTACTTCCAAGTACAAGTGACCAACCACACGACGTTCGAAGTTTTGCTTGGTCGACCATTTTTCAAACTATCCTCTTGCCACACTAACGATCTCCCTAACAGAGATCAAGATATTGTTATCACAGACCCAAACATGCGCAAGGAGTTGCGCCTCCCAACCATTCCATGGGTCAAGTGCTGCGACCATTGTCTCAATGGCAAACATTGCGCCGAGCACTCCGCAAAGGCGAAAGCCGAGGAAAAGGGTCTTTAGGTATCGACGATCTGCAGTTGCCACGGGGAGACGTCTACCCGCCGTTATTATATTCTGCAAACCATGTTTCTTCTTCTCGTTATATTCCACATTCCCGTTTAAGTCCTAAAGCGCCACAATATGCACATGCCAAGGGCAAAGCATTACCGCTCTTAAGGAGCAATATCGCATTGTTTTCCGTATCATCGCATCATCCGCCACCCCCGTTATCCGTTTCTCCCTTGCTTCCACTTCAATCGGCGCATTATGCGCAACTAACATCCACCAGATCCGCCATTAATAAGGCAAATATCGCCGCTTTTAATGAGTGGTATTATTATGACCGCGATTTGCACGCACTGGTATATAAACCAGTCGTGAAGAAAGTCCGCACGGTACCAACAGGCTATGCTGGCCGAGTATAGAATTGTGCAGCAATTGCCCGAAGACCCGCTCGCTGGCTTGCCAGAATTACCTGCTCATCCTCCCGATTTTGTCCCAGGTACCCGCTTCACGCAAGAAAGAGCCGACAAGCTCGATCTTGATCCCGCCAAATGGCTATGGCCAGAAGAACTCAAGCTAGTATGATGGCTTGTCCTTGTACACGAACTCGTGTTCGTTTGGTGTGCCGCCGAGCATGGCTGCCTTGACGAAAAATACTTCCCGCCATACAAGATACCTATGGTCCTGCACACACCTTGGAATCAGCGCAACATTCCGATCCCGCCAGCTATCGTCAGCGAAGTCATTCGCATTGTCAAAGAAAAGATCTCTTCAGGCGTGTACGAGCCATCAACAGCCGCATACCACTCAAGGTGGTTTGTGTTGTAAAGAAGGATGGGAAGTCGCTTCAGCTCGTCCATGACTTGCAGCCACTCAACGAGGTAACAATTCAGGATGCATCACTACCGCCGTTTGTAGAACATTTAGCCGCCGCATTTGCGGGCTATGCGATCCATGCGATCCTTGACTTATACGCAGGTTATGACCAGCGAGCGCTTCATATTGATTTGCGCGACCTGACGACCTTTGGGACGCCGCTATGCTCCCATCAGCTAACCACATTGCCGCAAGGACATGCTAACGCCATACTGGTATACCAAGGAGATACCGCTTTCATCTTGCAGCACGAGATTCCAGAGTTCACATCGCCATTCATTGATGACATGCCGATCAAGTCAGTCAAGACGCGCTACCAGAATGCCAACGGCACATACAAGACTATACCCGAAAACGCTGGCATCCGCCACTTTGTCTGAGAGCACTTAATCGTAGTCAACCACATCCTTCAGCGGTTGGAAAACGTCAGCGCAACAGTATCTGCGACAAAGTTTGTATTAGCCGCGCCATCGGCGGTAATCGTTGGGCATAAGTGCACGTTCAATGGCCGAGTTCCAGAAGACTCGAAAGTCAAAAAGATTCATAATTGGCCAGAGCTGAAAACCTAGTCGCAAGTGCGCGGGTTCTTGGGCACATGTGGTGTCCTTCGTATATTTATCCGTGATTTTGTGCGCATTGCATGACCGCTTACTAACCTCACTAGGAAAGATGTACCGTTCAAATTCGAAGACGAACATCACAAAGCAATGGACTTACTTAAAGCCGCTATCGTTAACTCACTGGCATTGCGCCCGATTGACTACGAGAGCAGCCGAGAAGTTATCTTATCGGTTGACACATCCGCCATCGCGGTCGGCTATATCTTGTTGCAAGTCAGTGAGGATGGCAAGCACTATCTAAACTGCTTCAGCTCTATCATGCTCAGTGAAGTCAAAAGCCGCTACTCGCAAGCGAAGCTTGAGTTATACGGACTCTTCTGCGCATTGCGCGCCGTGTGCATCTTCATTTTCGGCATCACCAACCTTACGGTTGAGGTCGACACAAAGTATCTCAAAGGTATGATCAATAATCCGGACTTGCAGCCCAATGTGACCATAAATCGGTGGATCACAGGTATCCTGTTGTTCCCTATTAATCTTGTTCACGTACCCGCTGCAAAGCACAAAGGTGCCGATGGTCTCTCAAGGAGACCGGCTGCTGATGATGATGTTCCTGAAGATGATGACCATGAGGATTGGCTAGACTGAGCCTATTCCTTTGGTTTGACTTTACTCAATGACTGTGTGTTCACAATAGAATCTGCCGGAGCGCACATTACACGAGTGGCGCGCCTAGCGCCGATCATGATGCTGCCAAACCACGTACCTATTCTTCGTGTTTTCCTAGATGTTGTCGCTCCATCAACCGACGAGAAAATCACTCTGCACTCAGAAGCTGCCATCGCTCTAGACGTGAAGCTCCTGACCCTCAAGCAGTTCCTGATAACGCACAAGCGCCTGTCAGGATTGTCGGACGAAGATTACGCCACGATGGTCAACCAAGCAGCGTGATTCTTTGTGCTCAATGGCAATCTATGGCACTGCGAGTGCCATGGTAAACACCAACTTGTCTTGGTGCCACCAAAGCGCTATAATATTCTCAAACAAGCACACAACGACCTAGGTCACAAGGGAGTATACACGATCTGCGTTCGGCTAATCTTGTGTTTTTGGTGGCCATTTATGATGGACAATATCAAATGGTACATGCACACATGTCACGAATGCAAGATAAGGCAGATGCGCAAGCTTCATATCCTGCTGATGGTACCGACGCCCGGCGGCTTGTTCCGCAGAGTGCATATTGACACCATGAAAATGCCCCAGGCGGGCGGTTTTGAGTATCTCATTCAAGCGTGTTGTGTGCTAACATCGTATTCAGAATGGCGCATGCTGCGCAAGGAGAATACCAGGTCGCTAGTGGCCTTCATATATGAGGAGATCCTCTGTCAATGGGGTCCGGTGACTGAGCTGATTACTGATAATGCTCCCGCTTACATGCTCGCCGCTGATATGTTAGCCGAAAAATATGATGTCCACCCGATACATATTTCACCGTATAATTCACAAGCAAACGGCATAGTCGAGCGGCGCCATCGTGACATCCGCGAAGCTATTATGAAGACATGCGATGGCGATGACCTACAATGGCATCAGGTCGTTCATTCCGTGTTCTGGGCCGAGCACATCACCATTCATAAGTCTACGGGTTTATTGTCCTACTTTATGGTGCACGGCGTGGAGCCGATATTTCCTTTTGATCTTGCTGAAGCTATGTTTCTAGCGCCGACACCTGCGCGTGGCGTATTTACCATCGCTGACCTCATAGCATGGCACGCACACCAATTACAAAAGCACATTGAAGATCTTAGCGAAATCCAAGACAAGGTAGTAAAAGCACGCTTTGCGTCAGTTCGCGACTTTGAAAAGCGCTTCCGAAATATCATCCGTGACTATGACCATGCGCCCAGCACTTTAGTGTTGGTGCGCAATTCCAAGGTCAAGTATGAGTTGAGCAAGAAGACAAAGCTGCGGTACTTGGGACCTATGATTGTAGTGTGCTGCATGAAGGGAGGCTCATATATCCTGGCCAAGTTAGACAGCGCTATATCGCTCTTACGCTACACGGCGTTTCACGTAATCCCCTATCACCTGCGCAACGGTGAGCGCGTTATGGTAACAAGCATCACCAGAAAAGACGACGAAGCGCTAGATCGGCTAGCCGATGAGGATATTGAGGAACCAGAACATGCGCAAGATGATTAGCGCATACACCCCTTCCCGCATACCACCCAACACTCTACATGTAAATCACTGCTCCCGCATCGATAAAACTGAAAATACCAAAAACATCAAATAACAAGAATACTGCAAAAAACATACCGCTATAGTACATACTCTCTGTTTTACCCTGGGTTTTGGCCGGCAATCATTTTCCCTCATTCTCTCATATAACTGCACATAAGCACATTGACCGCACATATTCAACAGACTCTATCGCTATCGCACCACAAAACAATAATAAAGAATCAAGTATATATATAATGCATATCATTCCAGTAGACGCGCGCGCATAACTAACCTCCTAGACCTTTCCATTTCTAATGCGCGCTGCACACATTTCACCATAGACTTACAGACCTCATCTCTAATCAGCCGCGCCATCAGTGGCCAAAGCAGGAGTAGACACAATAGTCGCACGAAGAAGACAAGTCGGGCACGCTGCCCGCAAACATTCTGTATTCCTTTCCAATTGTTTTCTTTGCCGCCACACTCAATTACTTAATATTGTTTTAATCCCCATCTATAGCCAATGGACTTAGCGGAATTGGACATTGGATATGGACACGGACAAGGAATGGAACACGACAGGACTAATCTATTAAGCACACCAGGTGCCAGAGGAAAAACAGAAACACTATAGTACAAGGCACTTTGGCACCAGCAAGAGACTCTAATCTAAAAAGTATTTTAAAGAGTCCCTCTCAATCTTCTAAGACCTCCCCAAGCTCCTTCTCCCAATTCCCCCAGTCATGTGCCAAGATATAAAGCCGGTTGCTCATATGGAGCAACTCAGACTCCTGGATGCGCGTGTGTTGGCCCATGTCAAGGAGCGCCAGACGGTACTTGTCATTGTGAGTGCGGAGCTCAGCATTTTCAGCGCGAAGCCAAACAGCTTCAGCATGTGCCTCCTCCAACTCCGGGTCGGCCTCCAGGCGAGGGCGCTTTGCCGCAGGAGCAGCATCAGCGTCGAGCGCATGCTTGGGGCGCTGCACAATGATCTCCTTGGAAGGAGCAGGAACAGGTTCATCGGCTGTAGCCTCACCCACAATCTCCACTTCTGACTCACCAGCGTCCGGTGCAGTCGTTTGCACGGAGGGCGGCGCCTTGCGCTTGGGCGCAGCCAGCACGCATCCTTTGTTCTTAGCCACGACTAGAAGAAAAGAAACATCACATCAGTAAAAAGCATAAGCGACAGAAAGGACAACGCAGACTCACCGAACGAACAGCCTTTTCGCGCTTTGATGCACACTTTGCAATGCCCGCCCGCATGAACGACGATGCACTTGGCGCCAGACGCGGTGCAGCGTTGACAACGCTCAGCGGGGCAATTGACCGAGGTCGCGGTCATCCGCCCACCCAAACACTAGAAAAGAAAGTGTCAGCACAACTGAGAAGGCAGAAAAAGCAAAAGTAAGACTCACTGGTCGCCCCATATCGGTTGGACCAGACCCCACCGCCTTCTCAACTGCCTTCTCCTCCGTCGCAACGACCTCCTTACCCTTCCCTTTGTCGGTGCGTGGTCACTGCAGACTCTTCCACCTTCTCCTTCCAGGCCTTCATGGCTCTTGTCAGCGTCCTCACGGCAATTTTGCCCTCGGCCAACGTTACCACATCCACGTTGTTAAGGGACACATGCCCGCTTGTAAACGACGGTCATATCGGCCTAAGAAAAACAAACGAATCATTAGCAAAAAGTAAGCACACCAAAAGAGATGCGCCACTCACCATCGCGACATTCCAGTCACGGAGCCAAGATTCCTGCTCCTCCAAGAGCTCTGGCTTGGAGGGAGGAGCAGTGTCCACGCAAATGCGCATGGTATTGAGCACAGCGGCCCAAGCGTGTTCCACCCGGTTGGACTCGGACTCCTCAGGCTCCTTCAGAGCCGCATCATCGAGAGTGGGGTCATCGACAGACGCATTGCCACCCTCTAGCGGGTGCTCTTGAGGTTCAGGTGAGGGAGATGGGGAGGGAGATGCAGTCAGCATGGATGGATTAGAGATGGTGGAGGACATAGTAGTAAGATGCAAAAGATAATCGCTGAAGTCTGCGATGAGAAGTTGAGAAGAAGTGAAGCGCGGCACGCGACACATTTTAATACATCAAAATTGGCCACAGTTCCCACAGTTGGCGCTCCACATATCCGCGGTCCACTATTGTGCTTCACATACAGTGTGAAACGCACATGGTCACGTGACTTATCTCGTCGAAATTTCGCTAAGTCCCTCCGCTCTATAGAGGCTGACTGGGGACAGTCAGGATTTAAAGTTTGTATGTGATGTAGGACTTGTAGCCTCGTAGAGGCTATTTTTGCAGTGTCCCTCAGGTCTTAGCACAGCATGCGCTATCACTACCATGGCGCGCATCCTTCCTATTGTTGGCCGACAGCCACGGCTCACACGCGCACTTCGGTTCGCATCCGCTTTTTGTCGGTTCCGTCACACATCCTTCCTCCGTCCTATCCATGTCCTCCGCTTGTCCATTGGTGCATATTTTAGCTCATTTGCGTTAGACTGATTATATTTCCAAAGGTGATATCGTGTATGTTTCGTTACTTGCGTTATAGACCCTTAATACGTATTACCGTTATCTTCTCGGTTCTGAACAGGGCTACGTGCGCTACGATATATACTTTAGACTTAGGAATTTTCATGTACCTTCTTTTCCCGCTATCAAAATTATCATCCGTTTGCATGCATCACTGAGACTCTAAGTCTAAAAACCTTTGGCCGACTACATCACACACTGTATTAACGGTCGTGCTATAAATGTTCAAACTTCGCCCATCACATACCTCGCTAGACTCCTCTCCTGCTCTATAGTCGTGTCACGTCTCTTTCGCATATCCGCTAAAGGCACGTTCATCAACCGTCGGCTTTTCCCCGCGTTTTCGCGCTGGATCAAACTTTTGGTCGCTCAGTTGCACATTGTATCGCACCTTCGGCGGCTTGCTCGCGCTTGCATCACATCAAGTGCAACATCGCGTGCTCTTCCATTCTCAGTTACTCTTACCAGTTTCTCAGTTCCCCCTCCATATTTTACTTAGAGGAATCATTCTCAGTAGCAATCCCCTTGGGCCGAATCTATACTCGCGTCCAGAGGTCTATTTGAGTTTTACCCCACTTCACCCTTTCTCCCCCTTTCACCCCTTCTCATCTAGCTATCATTCCTCACACACACCGGCTCACACCTGATATCTTCAAGGTGCTCCAATTGTTGAAGAGTGCTTATCACAACAGGCATATCCAGGCTGCAGCTGAGGCTGCCACTCGTGTTGAGCCTCTTGCTCATGTGACTGAAGATGACCTTTCTGTTGACCTTCCTGATCTTTAGTCTTGCTTTGCCTTACTTTCACTCGGTCGTGCTTCATAGTAGTGTACCAGTACTCCTTACTACTAGTACAATTGAGTAAATTTACAATGCATTCAACATTTGAACGTGTTCATGGCGTCCAGTTCAGCATTCAGCAAAATGATTGAACTGAACATGAGGTCTGGTTCAGCGTTCACAAAATTTCTTGTTGAACTGGACCAAACTGGACTTCCACAACACTAATGGTGGTCTGTCATCAGCACTTTTTCAGAGCAATTGCTAGATAAACAGATCTTGAAGTCAAGAGCTCCAGAAGAATTCTGATGTCTTTTGCAATAAGAGTAGAATAAAAGAATCAATCATGGTGACCATACTATTGAAAGAACTGCCTTGAGGATTCACTTTTGAATGAATTCATTGGAAGTGCATTCAACTGGTCTTAGTCAACCAGTCGATACAACAGAATCTAAATTTGTCTGTGTGGGTTCAAAACCTGCTAAAGAAGAAATTGTCAAGTGATCATCAGAATCAAAATCTGTTTCTCTTGGAATGTGCAGGTTTGAAACCTGCCAATTCATTTTCTATCAAAAGACACCTTGAAATTTGCTCATAGTCGGTTTGCTTGCAAGATGATCAAAGTTATGTTTAGCCATGTGGCTGTCATAACAGAGTCAAAATCTGTTCCTATTGCAGTGCAACAAGTTCAAAACCTGTTGAACACCACATTTTTTCTATACAACCATGACTTCAATATTTGCTCACAGACAGTCTCTCAGATATTCATCTTTTTTTTTCCATGCGAGCTTGCACACCTGGGGAATATGTTGAATTCAATGGTGAGTTTTATTTTCTTGCATGCACTTACTTTGACAAGTGCTAACTTCAATGGTTGAATCTCTTTGTTCAGTGTGATGTGATATGCTCACCCTCATCCAACAACTCAGCCTTTTCAACAAATCTGTCTTCATTATATACCCCATCTATTATTCCTGCCTCATCTATCATCTCTGGATCCTCTTCCACCTCCACACTGAGTTCTTCCAGCTCCATCTCAGTACTATCCACTTGGTCGGCTCCTTGTTTCTTCACATTGAACTCCTTGATCAACAATTTCACTACCAGGTTTACCATGTGGAGGAAGCACCTGGTGTGCATCACTGCTCCACTGAACCTGAGCACTTTATCACTCAGTTTGCAAATTATTGTGTCATTGTTGGACGCATTATCACATGTAATACTCAGCATCTGTGTCTCATGGATTCATGTGCATATAATTGTGTTTTGTTTTTGTGAATCATACCTTTTTAGATATGCCAAATTCTTCTAGCATCTTTGCAAATGTCTCTGCAAGCTCTTTGCCAGTGTGGGACTATGAACCTCTTAGCTCACATACACCTACTAGATAGGTAAGTTTTTACCTTCTCAACTTTGACCACATCTAAAAGTGCATCCAAAGTACCAAAGTACTTGTCCAATATAAGCGAAGGTGGTCCAAAGTCAAGAAATGAAGGTCTGATGATGCACAGAGGCTCAGAAGAGCTTGCGACTAAACAGTGAGATTTCTGAGAGTCAGTATAATGAGTATAAGACTAGTGAGAATACAAAAGTACAACTATGCAAAGCATATTGAAAGACTCAGAGATAGTGAGATGTGAAATGGCAGCAGTCAAGCCAAACAAAAGGATCAATTACGTGAAGTACGACTTATCTGAAAGTGGGTCTACTAACTATGACTCATAGCAAGGGAAAGGAAGTGAAGTACAGATAAGCTGGCGAGTGTGATTATATATTACAGCATGAAAGTCTGGAATTGTGTAGGCAAGAACAGTAGTAAGATAAGCTATCTGAAATGTAATAAGACTCAAGGCGAGTCGCTACACTGATATCCATGTAATAATGCACGAGGCATGCTGCTATATGCATTATTTGAGGCTTCCTATGGGCCACCAACATATCTGTTCCTATAACATATTCAATAATAGACAAATGAAGCGCAAACACACCAGCAAAGTCAAATGGACATAGACAGGACATGATACAGTGGATTGCAGAAGAGAGTGACCCTCAGAAGTGGATGGACTACCTTTGGATGACTTGGACAGATGTGTGGAGGCTTCAGAACAGTCAAGGAGTGTTGAGGAGTACTTCTGTGAGACATATGTGGAAATGGTAGGATATGAGTCCAGCACCAGTACCATTGCTACAGTGTGTATGTTGATGGTGGGAGAGTACATAACTTTCTCTTTGTCATTGACACTTGAAATAATGAGTGCAGCAGCCATCAATTTTAATAATCTGTGGTGTCAGATCAAAAAATGTGTAGACTGGTGAAGTTCCAATCTCTCATAAGGTGTTCTGTTTTGTGTTTGATTAATATGATATTTGCATTGAGATTATTGTACATACAGAGCTCATCTTCTGCCATCTCATCATCTTTGTACAATCAATGCATTCTCTTCTTCCTCAGTATGCACAACAGCCTGCCGACTCAAAACCATCTCTGGACATAGAGACAATGGTGCTGTGATAGGCCTATTTTTGTCAACTAACTCATCTTCATCCACAGATCCTGCACTATTGGCGGGAGTGTTACCAGACAGTAGGGTTTTTTTGACCTTCTTCAGGTTCATGTTCCCACTATCTCCACTACTGTTGTTTTTTTGCTTCTTTGACAAAGTTTTGATAGTCTGCTTTTTTAGAGCAGCTTTGGCCTTCCCAGTTATTTTGATAACTTGTTTGACTGTGGCTGCAAAGGTGAGCTGCATGATGGGAAGTACTAGTAGGTGATGAAGGTTTGCGAGTGTCGTGCAGGATGTTTATCTTTGTCTTTAGAGTTTGACAGTTTTCAAATTGTTCAGGTAGTCAAAATTTATTTACATGGCACTGATTTTGATTAAAATCTGTGGTAGGGATATGGGTAGGGGTATGGGTACTGTGATCCCATACCCACACCCATACTCCAGTGATACTCATATCTATGACCTGCATGGGTGACTCATATCCATGCAGTACCATACTCACAAGCTAGAGGCTTAGGCAAGCAAGACCCAACATATTATTCAGTATCCATCAATCTGAATTATTGTATCTACATTAGGTTGCAAATATCCTTGGTTGTACTGTAGACAGAGCTTGGACCAACTTTAGAGAAGGATAGACTTCTTAGCCTGTCACTTTTTTTCATTGTTGTATTCACTATAATGAGAAAGAGATTCAACTCAGAATGGTTGATATGAAGAAAGTACCAAACTAATATGATATTATATTGAGGTCTGTAGCACTGCCTAAGCTGTTATGCTTGTATGAACAAGTGCATTCGACCCCAAAGAGGTCTGCTATTAAGAACAAGCTCAAGGAGGTGGATCCAAAGGGCTTGGCTTCAGCTTATGCACTGCAATGATACAACAATGTCAGCCAAATATATGTGTTGTGGTCTTGCACAGCTTAGTCTGCTATACTTGCAAGACAAGTGTGTTTGACTCAAGGAGTTAGCTGTTTGGAAGAAGTTCTAATGTTAGTGATATAATGTGTGGTCAATAGTCTGAGCACAGGAAAAAATGTCCAAAGGTATAATTACAAGTCCAATGTGTTTTGGGTTAGTGGATTAGTGGGTTTTGGGTTGCAAAAAACAGGTATAGTGAATGTTGGGGAAGTGAGTGGTATGTGGATTAATAATGATGATGGGTATTTCAGATAGAAAGAGCGGCAATATTTGCAATGTCAACTAAGAACTATGAAATATCAGGTTTGACCCCTAAGCAGTGGACATTTAGAAAACTACAGAAGGACTACTATGGACAAAGTCTGGAGTAGAACCAAACAGAGTATGGACTGCCAGAGGTAGAGCTGAAGATATGAAGTCCTCAGAATCAATCCTAATACTTAAGAGAAAGACAGGAGATGAGACTCAAGTCAAACAGAGGAATGAGTAGGGATCTAAGATGATATTTGAACTGAGGTGTTACAAAGAGTTGGAAAAAATGTGGTGTTCAACAGGTTTTGAACTTGTTGCACTGCAATAGGAACAGATTTTGACTCTGTTATGACAGCCACATGGCTAAACATAACTTTGATCATCTTGCAAGCAAACCGACTATGAGCAAATTTCAAGGTGTCTTTTGATAGAAAATGAATTGGCAGGTTTCAAACCTGCACATTCCAAGAGAAACAGATTTTGATTCTGATGATCACTTGACAATTTCTTCTTTAGCAGGTTTTGAACCCACACAGACAAATTTAGATTCTGTTGTATCGACTGGTTGACTAAGACCAGTTGAATGCACTTCCAATGAATTCATTCAAAAGTGAATCCTCAAGGCAGTTCTTTCAATAGTATGGTCACCATGATTGATTCTTTTATTCTACTCTTATTGCAAAAGACATCAGAATTCTTCTGGAGCTCTTGACTTCAAGATCTGTTTATCTAGCAATTGCTCTGAAAAAGTGCTGATGACAGACCACCATTAGTGTTGTGGAAGTCCAGTTTGGTCCAGTTCAACAAGAAATTTTGTGAACGCTGAACCAGACCTCATGTTCAGTTCAATCATTTTGCTGAATGCTGAACTGGACGCCATGAACACGTTCAAATGTTGAATGCATTGTAAATTTACTCAATTGTACTAGTAGTAAGGAGTACTGGTACACTACTATGAAGCACGACCGAGTGAAAGTAAGGCAAAGCAAGACTAAAGATCAGGAAGGTCAACAGAAAGGTCATCTTCAGTCACATGAGCAAGAGGCTCAACACGAGTGGCAGCCTCAGCTGCAGCCTGGATATGCCTGTTGTGATAAGCACTCTTCAACAATTGGAGCACCTTGAAGATATCAGGTGTGAGCTGGTTGCGTCGACTCTGATCTATGATGCTGCCACTTGAAAAGGCCTGTTCTGATGGAGTGGCAGAACCTTGAATTGCAAGGTAATCTCTTGCCATATGGGAAAGTGTTGGATATGCCACAGAATGATGCTGGTAGGTGCATCAGTAAATAACTACCAGTCGATGCAATGGATATAACTTACCCCCCACCAATGGACAACATCTCCCACATCTTCCAATGGAGCTGCCAAATATGTGGTGAGTTCTTGACGAGGATTTGCAATGCAGTGTTTGGATGATCGATGAGCGAGAATTGTTGAGCGCATCCACGAGTGGCCGTATTGTGTAGGCCTGGACTTAGAGGATGATGTAGTAGGTGTTGGCTGACATGCAGCTGCAACAGGAATGTAATATTTGTCAAACTAGACTAGTGTTAGCGGCAATCATGATGCATGCAAGTGGCATTTTAACAAGTTCATGAGTGCCGAAGAATTCATTTAGCTACCCTAGAAAAAAAACAACCCGTTAACAAATACATTAGCACTAAACCAAATTGACCAAAATCTCCATACCTTATCAGGTGCTTCCTTTGTGATGTTTTGGTTAGTGGTAGCCAAATAAACCTTCGCGGACCTTGGCAGTGTGGCATGGTCCTTGCAACAGGGTGTCCTACAGTACCTGGGAGCAAGCAAATCGGATTCCAAGCGAAAAAGTCGCGTGAATCAACAATCGTGTTTGAGTAATCATGTCGTGTTCAGTGTATTGCGTGTATGGATGATGTGATCTCGTATCACTGGTGTGAGTGGCCTAAAATGGAAGCATACATGGTTTATTTAAGTTATGACATCAGTGTTCAAAAAGGTTCGGACACGTTCAACGTGTTCAAGGAATGCTGAATGCTGAACTGGACCATCGGTCCAGTTCATGAAAAGTCCGGTTCAGAACCGAACCTCCGCATCACTAACCACCATGGTGGGCCGATGATGTTTGTGATGTCTTTAGATTAACAGCTGTGTCATGAGTGAGGACTGACAATGGAAGGATCACATATGATTGGACTCAAGGGGGATGTTAGAGATTAATGTTAGAACTGATAAAATGCAGATAAATGTACCTTGAGGATTTGCTTCTGAATGGGCTCATTGGGAGTGCATCTAACTGGTCTTAGCCAAGCAGTTGATATGACATAATATAAATCTGTCTGTGTGGGTTCAAAACCTGCTAAAGATAAAATTGCAAGTGAACATCAGAGTCAAAATCTGTTTCTCTTGGACAGTGCAGGTTTGAAACCTGCCAATGATAACATTTTTATTCTTATTCTATGAAGACATATTCTTATGGTTGGTCAGCTTGCAAGCTGATCAGAGCTGTGTTTAGCCAAGTGGTTGTTGTATGTAACTAAATACAAATCTGTTTCTATTGGAGCGCAACAGGTTTGAAACCTGTGAAACATCATATTTTTTTCTATAAGAACATGCCTCAAATATTTGCTCATAGATGGTGTGTGTGAGGAATGATAGCTAGATGAGAAGGGGTGAAAGGAGAAGAAAGGGTAAAGTGGGGTAAAAACTCAAATAGACCTCTGGATGCAAGTATATATTTGGCCCAAGGAGATTGCTACTGAGAACGATTCCTCTAATGTATGCTTTGATTGAAACATATTTTGAATCCATCGTGGCAATGATGTGGAAAAGAGTATTTATGATGGGTTTTGGAGAAAACTATCCATGAGAAAATATCAGAGTGTAATTGCACAGAATAAAAACATAATCATCAGCAGGTTTTACTGCCTATGAGCAAACATTTAAGACATGTTCTCATAGAAAAAATGTGACATTCAATGAGTTTCAAACCTGTTGCATTCCAATAGAAACAGATTTTGATTCTGTTATGACAACCACTTGGCTTGATTGGCTTGCAAGAAAACCGGGGAGTCCAATATTTATGTAGATACGCAGAAATCTGGAACCCTATAGGCGAAAGTAGTAGCACAATATTTGGGGTCCAATGTCCTATGTAATAAGACATGATGTACTGTGGACCATGGGAATACATGTAATAACACGGTTGACAATGTTAGGGATGTGAAAACAAGTAACTATGCACCTAGTGGGGCTAGCGCAATGAGACTGGACATAGGTAGGACAAGTGCACATGATATCCAATAGGCCAATGTGAAACCCAATGTCTGATTTCGGGTTTGGTGCGTATTGAGTCAGGTATGATAGGGAATGATTTGGGTAATGATTAGCATTCAAAATGCATCAGAAAATAGACCTCTGTGAGGCCACAAGGACTCCAAGTCCTACACCGACCATCAGCATATGTCCAATGTCTGATGTCTGATGTTTTCGGGTTTGGTGCGTATTGAGTCGGATATGATAGGGAATGGTTTGGGTAATGATTAGCATTCCACATGCATCGGAAAATAGACCTCTACGAGGCCACAAGGACTCCAAGTCCTACACCGAGGTACGACTAAGCAAAGCCTATTGAAAGAACTAAGAGATAGTGAGATGCAAAATGGCAGTGGTCAAGCCAAACAATCATTCTGAATGAACAAAAGATCGATTGCACGAAGTACGACTATCTGAAGTGACTCTACTAACTATGACTCGTAGCAGGGAAAGTGAAGTGAGGTGTGAGCAGCTAGCGAGGCAGATTATATCCTACAGCATGAAAGTCCAGAAACTGTGTAGGCGAAAGTAGTAGTGAGATAAGCTATCCAAAATGTAATAAGACTCGAAGTGAGCCGCTACAGAGATATGCATATAATAATGCACAAGGCATTATAGGGACTGATTCCTGGCTAGGCTTATAGAGACTGTTTTACTTAGTGTTATGTTTGCACCTTAGCTTACATAAGAAAGTTATCTTTTCACCAGTTACCAGTATGAGTCTGAGTCCTCAGCAGTTTTTCATGACATTTCCTCTCCTCTGAGCCTTGAGCC